TATCTTTGCACATGGGATTTCACCACTTACAACCAACAGCATTCCAAACTTCACAGTTCTCAGGCATGTTAGATTCTATCGTTCCATTATATTATGGCTTTTGTGGTCTGTTTAAAAGAAACTGCCACATTAAGGAAGGACATTTCAACACAACAGAAATGGCACTTTGGAAAGGAGTCCATGGAAAATAAGCCATAATGAGACAACAGCAACCCCATAGTTTTTTCCAGAGAAAATTTTACATACTTCATTAATGGTATTAATTTAAGCATTAGTTCTCCACTTTCCAGCGTTTGACACTAACACATGAGATGGCCACTGACTTGCGAGGTGGGGTGGGATTGGGAGCACCAGCCAGCTTTGCAGACACTGGAACAGAATCCCATGGTTCCAAATATTCCCTGTCACCTTTCTCATATCCAAAAAGAACATATGCTGGCAAGGATTTCAAACCACCAGTGTTATATAGGATCTTGGTAATTAAAATATAAGTCAACCCACACACAGCAAAACAAACCTACACACAAATAATTTTTCAATGGAGTTACTGCATGCCAAGGTGAAAAATGTTCCTAAATGGAAGAGATTTGGCCCCACCATAGCTAGGATAATCAAGAGAGGCCTTTCTTCTTGGTCTCACCATCTTCACGGGTGCATTTGGTGAGGACACAGGAGAGGGCCTTCTCTGCTGCTGTTCCTAGCCTCTGGAGCTCCCTCCCACAGGAGGCCAGGCTGGCCCCATCTTTGCTGTCGTTCCACTAGCAAGCAAAGACCTTTCTCTTAAAAGACCACAAGGCAAGCCTTCCCTTAGGGTGCCTGAATGGGTTTTTAAAATGTGTGATAGTGCCTTACTGCTTTGAATTTATTTTTGTTGTTGCTTTTGTTTACTGTCTTTTAGTGTGGTATTGGTTTGATCCTTTTTTGTATTTGTGTATTTACTATTTTTAGTTTTAAATGTTGTCTTTTGATGATGTAAATCAGCTTGATTCCTTTTAAAGGAGAAAGGTGGGTTAAAAGTATTTTAAATTAATAAATAGAGACTCCTATATGGTTGTAAAGTAGGAAACTCCTTTTTATGTTCATTGTTATCTGTGCTGTGAAAGAAGCAATGAACTTTTTATATGAGATATGGTTGATTTCCTAACATAATTAGTCTATGTAAGCCAATACAGTCAGGTATTACATGGTCATCTGTTCAGTTCAAAAGCTTAAGTCAGGTTTACAAATATTGTTTTCCAAGAACTAGAACCTATAACTACAGTAAGATTTTCTTAGCTCAGCAGTTAATCCTTCAACCCAAAGAACATTAATACAAAAAAAATGCAAGAGTTGCAATAATCAGAATGCTAGCAAACACTGGGCTTCAACACTATGAACATTTCTTCAATATTCTACACAGCACAAATGGAGTATCTGAGAGTAGTAAATTTTCTCCCTTTCAACTAGTTTAATAATTTCACATTAAAAGAAAAAAAAAACACCTGCCGATTAAGTGGAAAAAGAAGCAGTATAAAAACCAACAGCATGAAACTTTAACTTTTTTTGTTCAGCATAGTGAAGAGGTATTCGTGTCTCTTATGATGTATTAATACTTTTCATGGGAAAGGTCTGGATTAAAACCCATGTTATGCCTACTTTATCTGCTGCACAGCATAGGACAAGAAAGAAGTATCTTAGTACGGAGTTTGGAACTGCCAAGTGTAGTAATACAGTGCCAATACAAAATGCCAGTTGATTGACTATTATAGGCAAGCAAAATGTCCACCTTCCAAATACATTATCAAAATTTCCTGTAAGGTAGCCCTGAAAAGTTCTGCTCATTTTATTTGACTTCACCTTAGGCTAAAGATCAAAAAACCTGCTAAAGAATGAAAACTATGAAATACCACCATATTTGCTTGATTCATGTAAAAAGAGTTCAAAAAGATATTAATTTAAAACATAATCCCTTTTTAGAAACCACATTAAAATGTTTGCCATTCAGAAATAGTGTAATTCAAGCACACAATTCCACTAAAGTCACACTCAGTATTAAGCTGCTGTGTAAACTTTCTGTATGTCCAAGGCAGCAATCCTAACCACATCTAATACAGAATAAGCCCCAGAATGTAATTGGATTTACTTACATATGAACATGCATAGATCTGCAATATATTCGTGCACAGCAACAAATACCTAACTATTTAAGAGGCATTACAAAACATTTAGAACATGAATGGCAAGAGCAACATAAATGTAAAATACTAACGAGATTCTAACTACAGCATTAACAAGGAACAGAGAATGTAAAAGCCATAGAAGTTCTACTTATCAGATTCCTTGATGTCAAGTATCTGCCCCAATGCAATGAAGCAAACATAATTCTAACAAAAAAAAGTCTTAAAAGCTCAACAGACTGAGCTGCTGGAAATTCGGAAATATCTATTTAGTCCTATGCAAGACTCTCACTAAAATTTCTATATGAAGAGGAAATATTTTTTCCAGTTCCAAACACAAGACTGTTTTATGAAGTTACACTGAATCAATAACTCATATCACATTCACAGTACTTCTGACCAAGGGCTAGGCATATTACCACGTTAAAAGTTCTGAACAGGTCGCTGAAACCAGCTTTCTTTTCCTCTGCTTTGGAAAAAAGCAAGCAGCCTTGAAGGCTAAGGAAGTGCTCCAGTCTTTTAACGGGAAAAATATCTACATATACCTTATGACATGGAATATGCAAAATGTGCATTTACCCAGAATGCTCCATCCCTAAGGACTTGGTTAAAACATACTAACAACTCAACTACATAACTAAAAGAGTTAAGAGATATATCTAACTGGTAAATGTAAACATTAAAACCACAGTCATGCCGGCTGAGGGATTCTGAGAGTTGTAGCCAAAGGGATGATGTTTCCAAATTTCAGTTGAAATGGCTGCTTATCACTGTGTTCCTGCCCCCAGGATCTGGAGATCCCTCCCATGGGAGGCCCCATCTTTACTGCCCTTCCACAAACAGGTAAAGGCCTTTCTCGACAGGCAGGCTTCCCCTTAATAAGGGGTTTTAAAACAGGATGGTTTGTTTTGTGGTGTTTTTTTGATGTTTTTACATTTATTTTAATACTGTATCTAGCTAACATTTTAATATAATGCTTTTTTTTTTAATTGCTTATATGACTTACTGTTTTTAGCTTTCAAATGCTGTGTTTAATATAATAGGTAAAGGCCTTTCTCGACAGGCAGGCTTCCCCTTAATAAGGGGTTTTAAAACAGGATGGTTTGTTTTGTGGTGTTTTTTTGATGTTTTTACATTTATTTTAATACTGTATCTAGCTAACATTTTAATATAATGCTTTTTTTTTTAATTGCTTATATGACTTACTGTTTTTAGCTTTCAAATGCTGTGTTTAATATAATCCAACTTGGTATATGACTTACTGTTTTTAGCTTTCAAATACCCTGTTTAATATAATCCAACTTGAGTCCTTTTTAAAGAGAAAGGCAGGGCAAAAAAATGTTTTCAATAAATAAATAAATCTCCTGTCATCAGAGGCAGCTAAAAAATAAGAGCTTGCAATCTTCCACAAGATGCACAGCTTTAAACTCTAGTATGTGCATGGCTATCTTTAAAAAACAAGTGCTGATTAATCAAGGTTGGACACTCAGCACGATTCAGAGTTACGTGTTCAGAATACTGTGAATCCCAGCTTCATTTTAACTAAATTATTGTCTGCAGAGCAGCCTGAATATGAATTGTCAGTGTGGACTCCTTGTTAATAAGGTTGACCAACTTGATACTGCGGTACCTCCAGTGAAAAATTCAAATGTTACTGTAGTGATTATAAATTCATTTACCCACTCGGGAGAGGGAACAAATTTGGGCTTAAGAAGAGCTGCTTAATTCAATGAGCAACAGCTGTAGAACTGTTAATTGCATTTAATTGTTAAGCAAAGTAAATGGAGACAAATGGAAAACATATATAGAAAAGAAACACTCATAAACATAGTACTTTACCTAAGTTTCTTTTTCTAAAGTGGTTTCTTAAATAAGCTATCCAAAAATAATGGCTTGGATAAAATAGTCCCAAATCCAAACGTATGTACATACGTATGTGCACGTGTGTGTGTGTGAGAGAGAGAGAGAGAGAGAAAGAGGGAGAGAAAAAGAGAGAGTGCAGCATAAAGACAATATACTTAGCCACCTAACAAGAGGGACTGATGGGTCTGTCTCAACACCAACATGAATCCACACAGATGCTGTACTCATGCATCATTTTCAGATGTATGTTATGTCATAGCAAACCAGAATATGAGTAGGCAGAGTGTCAGCCCATGTATCCCTTTAATCTTGCTTTGCCACTTTAGTCGCACAGTTATCTAAAAACTGAATGGGTTTTAAAGGTAACAATTATTTCAAATGCTAAGCATACTTCACAAAAAAACTTTTTAAAAGTTTGTAACAGGTAGGTATTAGGCCAACTCACTGTACCTACTTTGTCTCTAGCAGATATTTGAAACAGTTCTGCTTTCTGACAGTTATGTTCAGGTTTTCATCCCTCCCGAAGATATGTATTTTAATTTTACATCATAGCAGCAATAAACTATTTGCTATCATCAGTGCAACCTCACAGTTTAAGCTTGGAATAATGAAGTTTCATGCAAAGTTTACATTCCTCCTCAAAACCATCATCTTGAAGAAGGCTTACAATTAACCAGGAAACAGGAAAGGTGGAACTCAAGAGGTACAACCTAAAGAGAAGGTGGGGGATTGTGACCAATTCCAGTAGCAAACATAAAATAATGTTTGCTCCTTGTAAAACATTTCCATTAGAGAAAGCTGTACGGGGCAGCTATAAATACAGGAAATATAATCAAAACACATTAATTCATAGAGTAACAATAAGCCAAAAGCAACTTGATGCCACATAATAAAAATCAAATTATGATCATGTAACTTTATCGTAAGCTCTTTCTACCGATAAGCATACAGTACTTGTGTTTCCATACTAGTGCTTCTTACCTCTCAAATTTCTTGGATTTATTTGTTTTGTTCGAGGCATTCTCATCCAGTCATAGGCAGTTTCCCAGAAATGGAGAACAGGCCGACGGCAGCTCCATAAACATGCCAATAAGGTCAGTTAATCCATATACTGGGGAAGTGGGGGAAAAGATAAGATTAAATAAGGTCCCAAACAAAAGAAGCATCATGTCAATTTAACAAATTTATCATACGGATGTGGAGTCCTCAAATACATGATACTGGGTCAGGCTTTGTACAAGTTAAGTAGTCACTACTCAATGTTCTCAAACCCAGACAGAACATTAGTGGCATGTTGCATAATTTAAAGACAAATATGCCCCAAATCAATTTGTTTCCAATAGCACAGATGACCTTGGGAAAGTCACCAACTCATGATTAAAAAATGGAATTTGACATTATTTCAAGTTCATTAATTAGCATCCATTCCTTATATACTACTAACCTGAGCAAACTAACACAGTACCCTTGACATGCCCACTGAAATCAGTTACAGGTATTTTGAACTTAAATAACCTAAAGAGCACAACTACAACTAATAATCACTATAACATAAACAATATTTTGTCTTAGCTGTCCCCTAGTCTGTTGTCCTTAAACCTTGCCAAATATGAACAATTAAAGTGCTTAAGAACACCACTGGATCAAAACACAGATCTATCAAATCAAGCGCTCTTTCCAGCTGCTGCCAACCAGACGCCCCTTGCACTAAATATACTTTTGTGCTTATACTGCTTCCTTATACAAGCAGTATAAGGAAAATAAATGCATCTCTTAAATAATTTAAAACTGTACAGTCCAAACATTTAATTATATGGATATAAAGAACCACCTAGCACAATTCTGTCTGGTAGCTTTTCTCCAGTCTTTGTCATACATCTTGAAACTCTTAATCTGGATCCTTGCAGAGTTCTGTTACTCTAATACCCTGTTTTCCTGAAAATAAGACCTAACCTGAAAATAAGCCCCAGTATGATTTTTCACGATAAACGTAATATAAGCGCTATCCCAAAAATAAGACCCAGTTAAGTGAAATCCTGCCCTCCAACACTGTGCAGCAACCAGAAGATGACATGACCGTACAGTATTTGAATAAATGCAGATTGTTGTCCATGAAAAAAAAAATAAACATTGTCTGAAAATAAGCCCTAATGCATTTTTGGAGCAAAAGTTAATATAACACCTTGTCTTATTTTCGGGGAAACACAGTATTAAGTTTCAGACTTTCCTAAAAAGCACACAAAAGCCGTGGTTCTTTTTCCCTTCGAGGGCTTCTCTACCTTTAATAGCTAAATGAAGAGAAGAAACCCAACTTGTACCATTTTCCCTATCATAGCACTGTATAAAGAAAGTTACATCTGCAGAACCTTTGCATACAGCAACCCTTATCCATTCCTAGAAAGAACAAGGTACAGAAAGAAAAATGAAATTAATCTGCTTTAAAAAACTTTGAGCTAGAAAAATTTTCTTCCATGGCAATTTTCTTCTGGCTTAAGCATGCATTGTTTTGAAAGGGAAAAAACACTTGGCCACACAATTTTCCTGCATCAGCATATGTACACCAAAAACAACAACAAACCCCAAAGTGGGATCCAGCAGTGAACCGCACGAAATTTGCTTCGTAAGTTCCTAGGTAGGCTCCATTAGTTTCTGGGGACTGTGCAGTAAAATAACAGTAATAGCAACAGTGATAGTAGTGGTAGTAATGAAACAATAAATTAAAGGAGCTATATTTATGGGCAAAAAACAACAACAACAAATTGGAAGAGCTTATCATGGATTCATTAATATTTCCTCCTCTCTTTTTTAATGAACCAGTAGAATAAACAGTCAACATGAACCAACAACTTCTAGGCAAAAACACCAAATAGTGATAACTGATGCCAGAATAGCAGACTCATTCCCACTAACTGTGCAACATGCCTTCAGAAATATGAAAATAATTAGAGGCATAACATAAAACAGACTCCAATCTCTCTTGACTGTTCTTTTTCCCCTTTAGATTAATATATAGAACTTACAGCAACATTTTAAATATCTGTACACTGGTTAAAAGACTGGATTACAGCTCCATAACCCACGGAATAGCCAGCTGGAATGCTCAGTGGGCTGGCCAGCGGGTGGAGCGTTCAATTCCTCATTATGATAAACTGAGGACTGGTAAAAAAGAGAAAAGGAAAAAACTAGATAAGCTGAGGCAACTTTCTCTCCTGAAACAACTGTTAGGATTGAAGGTGGTGGTGTGGTTCCTGCCTCTTCCTTACTCTACAGAGAGAAAAAGATTAAATCGGTACACCAGCCTCCGCTTCAAGTGGAAGGACTCCAGCTGTTTCTACAGCCTCCAGCATGAACAATTTTAAGAAACAGGGGTTTCCCCCTTCAATTCAAATTTTTTATCATATAAAATAGGGAGAACAGAAACAGTCCCAAAGGGCCAACTGCTTCCTCAGCCCTCTGCTGCTTTCACTACTGTAACTCTTCTAATGCCCTTCTATTAGGAAAGGTATGGGGACAAAGCTTTAGTACAAAGGTTTTTGGAATTAGTCTCCTTTGTTTTGTTAAGAGTATTTCCTGGTGTACCTAACAAAGACTCTCAAAATACAGAAACTTATATTCTATATTCAGGTACCTTTATATGAGGCACAAAGTTTGTTGCTAGAGCAAATGCTGCCAGTAACTTTATATGGAAATAGAGATTGAGGCTCTGTTGCTGCTAAAAACAAAGAGTCAGCTGGCACCTGCAAGAAAGTTTGTTCTGTGCTATCAAGTTCCTTCAGATTTATAGTGATCAAACAAATTATCTCCAAAAGGTCCTGTCATTAACCACCCTGCTCAGGTCTTGCAACCTAAAGGCTAACCTAAAGGTTTCTTATATTGAGTTAACCCATTTTAAATAAAGTCCTCATCTTTTCCTTCTGCCTTCAATTTTTTTCCATAGCATTATTGTCTCTTCCAGCAAATCTTGTTTTCTCTTCATATGTTCAAAGCATGACAACTTCATTTAATCATTTGACTTTCTAGTTAGAGTTCAGCCTTGATCTAGAAGCTACTTGTCTGTCTTTCTGATGGTTCATAGTATCTGTTAAATTCTCCTTTAACAGCATATTTTGAATGAATCAATTGAACGAAACTAGTAAGATTTATTGGGCAGAAACCTTTGTGCACTGTAGGTCACCCAGTTCAGGCACTCTTAAAAAGCAGGCAATGGTTTTCAAAAGCTCATGTCAGATAACAATTGTTACTTGTTGTTTTAAATGACATAGTCATTTAAATCTAAATCTAATATACAGATTTCAATTGCTCAACTAACAGTGTTCAGAACCACTGGTTGGTCAATCTCCAGAACAAGTGACTGGAATAGTCACTCTGCAGCAATTCAGAATGAGAACTGACATATGCTTCAACACTGGTAATTTAGAGATGTTTGGAAACAACCTACAAAAAGCACATTACATAATATTTATGCTTTCAAAGGAGTCCTTCCGTTGGCCACCAGTAGGATTTCCCCTTTTTAGGCTCCGGGAAAGCATTTATTTAACAAGCGCCAGGCATATAATCCTTGCAAAACCGAAGAGATCAAGAATCTCTCTCCCTTACTGCACGCGGGGGTGGGGGTGAGGG